TTACAACATGTTACAACATGTTACAACCATCAAACCATGGCTTCTGAAGCAACATCCAGTGTTCAAGAGATTTGGAAGCAAGAAACTAGTAGAATGCCGGAAACTAGAGTTTCCAAACAAAGATAGGTACATAAGCATAAGCAAAATAGATGGGGTTCTGAATGAACAACACGGTATTGTGATGGGGTTCTGCACCAGATCCACGATGATGGCCATAGGATGGCCATAGAGGGAATCTCCACCCCACCAAACTATGAACGCTTCAAATGCTAGTGGTAAACCATGGTAAACCCCTATGCCATCATGCCATATCATGCCATAAAGCCCCAATTTTGGAGGGATTTCTACCATTTTATCCCCATTTCTGGTGATTACTTGGCGGTTTTTTTGCAACATTTACCACATCAACAGGGCGGATCAAGCCATGGCGGCCCAGGAGGTGTCACTCTTCCGTGGGTTCACTGCAATGAGGTTGGATTCCTGGCCGACCATCATCCCATCCGCCAGGAAAATGCCATACGGATGTGTCTGAAAATGGAATTCTGGTTGGTGGTTTTGAGCCACCTACCCATCTGAAAAATCCTGGAGTGAGTTCGTCAGTTGGGATGATGTTCCATTCCCAACTGAATGGAACAAAATAGTTCCAAAGCACCAGGATGCATGATGATTTCCGGATATTTATGGCACTTTGGGGAACATTGGTCCAATAGATCCATCCCAAAGAACTCCAGAATCTTCCCATGAATCCGCATACCATGGGAATTCATGGGAATTCATGGGAATTCATGGGATACCATATGGCTATTTTGATGTTCACCAGGGGTACCATGGGTTTTGACACACTGCCATATCAAAGAATAAAATTCATCCCCAGAATCATAGCTACAACCCGCCATCTTTGAAGCTCATCTTGCCCCGTCGACTCGCGATCCTTCATCGATCTCAACGCCGACTCATCTCCACGGAAGACGTTCCACAGCACCACGTCGTAGGGGACTTTCTGTCCTTCTTGGATCAAAAAACCGACAGCGATTGGTGGAGATTCACTTCATCTGGTTGATCTAGTTGATATAAAATGAATATACCCTCAATAGTTGGGCAATATTTGGATAAGATGGTTATTTTGGGATAACTAATGGTTATTCACTTCAGTAAGTTGTTGACCAGGAATGAAGATACCATTCGTTGTGATGACCCTGGGAGATTTCCAAACTGAGACCATCAGACATTTCCCAAGTGGGAAATTCATCCAATCAATGAGGTCATCAAGAATTCCTATCGCTGCGATTTTTACCCCTTATGGGGCCAAAAACAGAAACAGATTCACAATGACACCAACATGGCTAAATCTGGAACACCTTTCATTATTTTATGGGATTTATATGGATTTATCACCAGTTCGTCCCGTGCCATGATTTCATGGCCAGAAACGGTTACCTATAAAATATCATCATCAAGTCTGTTCGACCACAAAATATCATATTTTTTCTCCACTAAAAGGAGAAATTGAGGTCTACCTATCACTTTCTCGCCACAAAGATGCATTTTTTGAGGGCTCTAAAACCATGTCGAACCCCATCCCCACCTGACGACTCGAGCAGGCAGATGGCACGCCACAGCTGCGGCCGCGTCCACCGAGCGTTGGGCTGTCCGGTGAGCAACAACCGCCTGACGCAGTTCGGTGCCAACAATGGCTGGATGGGATGATCAGGTGCCAAAAATGGTTGGGTGCTGATGACAACAATGAAATGCTCGGTAACGACATGCAAAGCACATGATCAACATGAACAAATCATGAAAACATCATGGATTGATGCAAACCCGAAATGGTGTTTCTTATTGGCGGGGTAAAACCTTCCAAAGTTCGATGCACCAATGGGCCTGGTACACCATAAAATGGTCGGTTTAAGCATGTTCTTCGTCGATTTTTCAAATTAAAAAGTCCATGAGTCCATGAGCTCTTACGGCAAAGTTTATTACGGAAAAAAATACGGTGCACTTTTCCAACATCCCAATACATTGCCATTCGACAATCTGCCGATGGCCTTACTGTCACCTCCGCAGTTTCCAGCAGCCAGCGGACGGCCTCGTTGTGTGAGGTTACGCCAATGGGATTACTGGGCTGGTTCCATTGGATGATATTAGAGTGGTTCCATTGGTTCCATTGGTTCCATCTTTGATCAAATTGAACTGCCCCAACCTTTTGGGCCGATATCTAAAATTGTGGGGACGGGATTTCACTTCTCTCCGATGACCATTCTCTCAACCTTGGAACGCACAGGGTTCAAAACCCTAGCGTGATGATCAACACCAAAGTAGCACATAAACAAAGTCATAAATATGGTTCAATCAACACAAATGGTCCCATACAAGAGATTGGATGTGCCTTTGGTACATTTTTTGGGCCTATCACCCTATCTTCCCCACAACAAAACGTCTTGCTTTCACATCTTGGGATGTCCTCCGGCACAGAATCGAAGATAGCCAGACCGAAAAAAAACTAGAAAAGGGTTTCTTCTTCAAATTGGAGTCAAACAGCAAGTGTGTGCCTAAATGAAGAAAAGGAAACCTTCCGGAAAAAATGCAAGTTGCAGTTAATGAGAAAATCGACCAATAACTATACGACTATATAATCCATCATATGAACAATGTTAGCTGCAATTCAAACTTTCTAAGACTTATTCGAAGTACATTTTCATTGTTATAGACTATAACTACAGCCAATGGTTTGGTTCTGTGATCCCCTATCCCATTGGTAGGTGAATAACTAAAACCGGCAATGTGGTTGAAACAATAATAAACCACCCCATTTTTGATGGTCTATACCACCCATTTATGGTGATTTTGGGGATGGTTTATTATTGTTTTAACCACATTATAGCCGGTATAGCTAGCTTTTTTATGGTTTCTTATAATCCCCAACAAATAACACCGGTAGTTTTTTCAGGAATGTCAAGCAAAAAATGAACACCATTTATCATCTATATCAACATATTCCCAATCTGTTCAGATTTTTTTCTCCTGTTTTTCATGGTAAAAACCATCAAGGATCCTGCCTCGCTGGCCGCCACGCCATGCCGCATGTGGCCCAACCTGGGATGTGGAAAAAGCTATGGGATGTGGGAATATCACATTTTTCTTGCCACATTTACCACATTTATGGTCCTATTATGGTCCTATTATGTTCCTATCATGTTCCTATCATGTTCCTATGGGATTTGGGAATATCACATATATTATTCATATATTACCATAACAAAAACCACATGTATCGATATATTCCTATCATATCCAAGGAGGTTTAATTATTGCTCTGACCTTAAAGGGGTTGATTGTCCAATTCCCTGATATTAAACACCACCCGGAACTGGTTTGCTATGTGATCAATTTGATCTATTTGTTTTGGGGGCCCTATTTCGGAGAATTCAACATGGAAGGGATGGGATCATTCTTTATTTCCCTGTGACAAAACAGGATGGTCCATCATCTTGCAAGATATCCAACGAACTCCAGCTGGACGAAAGCAAATCCACCCATGCCATGTCAGATTCAATTTCTTTGCACTGCCAAACATATCATCCATACTACACATTCATCAGCTATTTCCAAAAAAAGGCGCCTGAAAAATGGGGTACTGGAATCGCCCAGAAACATGGCAGAAATGTCCATGTAGCGGCCACCGATGGCTCTCAGTTGCCTCACCGATGGCATCAAAGACCCACTGCATGTGGCAGGTGGTTGGGTCAAAACCTACCATTTTTCAGCGATGAGATTGACCATTGACCAATTTTACATATGATAAATGTACATGGCAAGTTTCTGGTTGATTGGGTGTAAGTAGCCGACTCACTCTTTGGCTAGGGAAATTCCCACATACAACACGTATCTACTTATAACATCAATCTGCAAATCCTTTTGTTTCCATGACATCGTTGATGCTTTAATCCCCAACTTCGATGAGTAAAATCAAGAATTCTTGGTGCTCATAGTCCAAGTTTGTGATCCAACTGCCAAAAACATGTTTTGTCTGAAACTAGGATGTACTCCAAAACCATCGCATAGTGTCAAGCATCGTTTTCTCCATGCAGTTTTGAAGTATCGCCCAATTTTTTTTGAATTTCTGGAGGAGCGATGCGTGCATGTTGTGATGTGCCTGCAAGGCTTTTGTCTGTTTGCAAAAAGGAAGTATCACCCATTTTCGACAAACCAAAATCATCCCAATGTTGGTTCCCCAACAAAAATGTCATGCAATTCATGTAATAGTATGTAATAGTAACACATCCCAATCTACAACTTTTGGCGGTTTCATCTCCCAGTCTCTATTGCATCAATAACATCCCCTCCTCCATCAATCGGGACAAACTACACCAATTCATTATCTTGAAAAGATCGGCCCTTTCGGGATAGTTTCCCCAATCTTAACCATCGTCTCAGTGACGTGCTAGTGAAGTCGTTGTGTTTATCCAGAGTTTTTTTTACTTACCACGTCCCATCCCATATGATGATGGTTAAATCGTCCAAGCACAACAGATCAATCCCAATGCCCAATTCGCTACTGGTGGGCTCACTTCTGAATCCCGGTTTCATTCCCATTTTTTCGGTGCTTAAATCATCCATACATATACATGATATAAGTCTAGCTTCCCAAGAATCACCAGAAAACCATGAGTCCAAATAGAATTCCCATCACCAGTGATGCTTGGCATTGTTGGATGCTGATTTGAAAAATCCTCCAGCAACATGTTGGATTTATCGGAACTGCCATAGACAGAACAGTAAATACCCCCAATTTCATGCATTTTTCTATCTGTTTTAGGGTGCAATGTAAAGTGATTGGAATTACCATACCCATTCTACTACCATCATATCCCCATCGAATCAGAGTATTCCCATTTAAACCCAACAATTCACCAAGGCAAATGTGCGTCAACTTGGCCGTCTGGGGACCCCACGACAAAGATATCCCCATGATATTTCCATTGAATATAGAGTTCTCCATCATATCCCCATTGAAAGTATAGATATCCCAGTTCATCCCCTTGGAATCCCAAATTATATTTCCATTAAATGCTTCGAACTTCGATTTACCTTGCAGATACCATGGCTTTTTCCAGGGGGTATCCCATCTAAAAATATCCCAGTTACATATCCCCATATTCAACTCATATATATGTATATATATATATATTCATATGGGGTTACCCCAGTTATCTAAAAATATCCCCATCGTTTTCAGTAGGTATCCATCCCACGAATCCCCGGATTTCATCCGAGCAGCTCCTCAGAGATCTCCCCGCACTGCTGCTGCAAGATGCGGCGCACCGAAGCTTCGGGGACGTCCTGCACCTGGAACCTTGAACCCCAGCGAGTTATAGGGAGATCCTATAGGAATACAACCAATAATGGGTTTAAGCAACCAAAAATAGGGTTGTATACCATCAAAAATGGGTTTAAATTTTAAATAAGCAATACTTGGGTTTCTTGATGTTTCTTCACTTATCCAGCTTGATATAGCTGATACAACCAACTTCAGATGGTTTGGGATAATTTTTGGGAGATTTGATAAACAAAATCCACTCACATGTTTACTAAACGAAACTGCCGATTTAACCATCTAAAACATCACCGATGCAGAATGGATATGCATTTGCCCCGGGTTTGGGGTAGACCCCACATGGCAATAAACAGTCAGAACAATTTATCCGAAACCTCAGTTTTTTTGGATGCCCTATCTTGGACAAACCCATATTGGATCCCGGAACTGCTTCGAGGCATCCAACAGTCCATTGGATGATGATTGGTACTTGATATTGGAAAACTGTGATCGCCGAATCCGACGTGGACAACATGAACCGTTCAACTAAACCTCGCATCACTCAGGACTGAGCCCGAAAGTCTCTAGACATTGGGGACTATTGCTGCTGGGTTGCATTGCAAACAGTCCAAAACCAACATTTTCCCCATGTGAATGGATTTGGGCAAGTCATTGAATGTTTTGCAAAAGCGGGGACAGCACCTTTACGATGGCGGCCATCCCAAACTATTGCGCTCCGAAGTTCCCAGGGAATTTTACGGGATGGCCGACCGTTGATCCAAGGGACACAGAGAGCCGTTCGGGACGATCTTTCAGGTGCCCCAGGATGGATGCTTCGCCGAAGGAGGAATCCTCAGATCATTGCGTTCGTCAAGAGATGTAACGATTAATTGCATTCTCAAAACGGTCGCAATGCCAGGGCATTGAACGCAATGTATAATCTTCGGGATTGATGACTGCCCGTGCGACGGATAAAATCTCGGAAAGCCACCACAAGCCACGAAGGTCAAAATCCCATCCTGTGCCTGGCTTTGTGCCAAACCAGCTGGCCCGTGTCACTTTTCAGAATCTGCGCGTGTCAAGTGGTCCGATGGTCAGACTGCATGATTCGTAGCTAAAAACAAGGGCTAGGAAACATTTTCCCACGAAAGGCTTTTGCTTCAGAGCCCATGGCGCCAACAAGGCCAAGCTGCCGCCACAAAGACCACGCGTGCCAACTTAGCTTCTGCCACCTCGGGCCCGACAATTGTAAGCACAAACGCGGTTGGATTGAGGATGGCCCCGCTCCCCATATAATTCCAAGTGGATGCCTATGCTTGGCTTTAGAAAATTAAGAAATTCAACTTGAGGAATTCTTCTGCTTTCATCTGTGTGGCAAGGCGTGTAAGTTGGGCTGCTGCAGCGTTCAAACTAGGAGCTGAGGGCGGGGCGTAAGCAGCCCAGCTGACCAAAGCTTCAAAAAATCCCGGGCGTCGATCCTGCATCTGTGGCAGACATGGTGGCCGCGCGCGCGGGCAAATCCCAACAAAGTTGGCCGAGGCTTGCGCATGGCGCGCTGACTGAATGCAACGTGGCTTTCGTTTTCCTTACCATCGTCCATTGCAGCATGGTGTGCGCTTCAGGATGTGCTTGCGAGTGATCCCTCCCCCTCAACGTGTGTCGCGTGTGTGGCAGACCGATGCAGTCCGACCCAAAACTTGAATGACCTCTAAATCACCAGCCATGTATGGATCAACCTTGGGGCACCCACAAACTTGCTGATTTTCAGGACATTCAGCCTATCCATTCCTTGGGGACAACCAATTTGACCCATACCCATTCAGGCATAAGGTCTTTGGCACCTTGTTATGAGCCACATCCACTTGGAACAGAACTTCGCCAGGGTCCCACATCCGAGTCACCAGGGTGCCTTTACCAAAAATCGGTTGAGGTGGTGAAGCCAATGATGGTTTCGGTCATGGAGGATCCCTATTTCGCCAACTCAGGGTATCAAAATCAGGGCTGCAACAAAGTTGATGGCATTCAGTCTACCACATTGCCTCCGAGAAAATGGGAGCCAGTGCATCCATGGTACCCTGTTTTTTTTGGCACAAAAATTGATGTAGAGCTGTATGTTTCTTCAACTCTGAGCCCGGCAGGTGCCTGAAGTCAACTGAAAAAATACTGCACATCATGAAGAACAACAAAACCGATTGAAGAAAATCTTAGTTCAAGAAAACTTGAATGGCTTGCTGGTTGTATATCGTGATTTCTTTCCTTTGAAAGGAGGGTGGCAATAACAATGAAATCACCAACCTTCATATACCTACCCTGTCCATCAACACGGCAAACCTGAGACACCCAGCACATTTTTGCGACGCTGGTTTGTACATACATACATATATATATATACGGCAAATGCCTGGGTTTTGCCCGGACCCGCTATGACGACGGGCGAGGCATCATCATCATCATCATCATCATCATGATGATCATGGGAACGTGGTAACTCACACACATTTTGAGCCAACTGCCGTTGCGACAGAGGGGTAATGCCTGTTGAGATTGAATGCAACAGCATAGCTACAATTTGATTACCTCTTGAAATGATATCCCCAATATCTTTGTTGATCTTCCCACTTGCATGTAAAGTTTAATGCTGGTGGGAGTTTAATATTCCCTAATATCCTTGTTGATCTTCCCAATTGCATGTAAATTTTAACGGGGGTGGTAGTTTTATATTTCCTAATATCCTTGTTGAGCTTCCCAATTGAATGTAAAGTTTAACGCTGGTGGGAGTTTAATATTCCTTAATATCTTTGTTGATCTTCCCAATTGCATGTAAAGTTTAACGGGGGTGGGAGTTTAATATTTCCTAATATCTTTGTTGATCTTCCCAATTGCATGTAAAGTTTAACAGGGGTGGAAGTTTAATATTCCCTAATATCTTTGTTGATCTTCCCAATTGAATGTAAAATTTAACGGGGTGGGAGTTTAATATTCTCCAATACCGTTTGCTTTTTCCATAGGAATTTACGGTTTAACGGGGGTGGGAGTTTAATATTCCCTAATATCTTTGTTGATCTTCCTAATTGAATGTTAACTTTCACGATTTGAGAATTTAATATTTCCTAGTACCTTTGTTGTTTTTCCCATAGGAATTGCAGGTGTTATGCCGTTTTGTTTTTCCCATAGGAATTTCGGTTGTTTTGATCTTGTTTGTTTAATAGTCTCTAGTACCTGTGTTATTTTTCCCATAGGAATTACGGTAATTTGCAACATCATTTGTTTGTGAATGGGAAACTTCTACGCTGCAACGCCTGGGCAAATCCCAGGTGTTGTGCGTATATATATATACAATATCCATTTATGGTAAAAGAATCAAGCATGAAAATGCCCTTCACCAGTTGGTGTCCCCTGCGCTATCAGTTGTATCATATTGTTCCTGGAAAAACGCTTAGTTGTTCGGATTTCGCTGTATATCCAACCAAATGGGCGATGAAAACTCTATGCCCAAATGATGGCTAAGTCTCTCAAATATATAGCTCCATAATAATCCTTACGAATAATCCTTACTAATAATCCCATCCTCCACATTGTTGGTTAAAAACAACCCAAAATTTACGGTTGATTGAATTACACCCCATAATATCACCATTGAATAGTTTTTTCATCCTTATATTCCCTATGTTGCCAAAGATATCTATTAAATCATGAGCCAAACAGATCAACCCACATTGTTCTGCCATTGGGTACATCTCCTTATTCTCCGAGGTGAAGCCAGTGATCATGATCAACCTCGGACACCAGGCATGACCCAATTTTCATTGTTCTTTTTTATGTGGTGAACTTTGTTTTGTGCAAAAAAACATATCTACATAAATATATATATAGATCGCTATAGAATATTCCACCTTAGATGACATTGTTTAATGGAGGTAGCCCTAAAAGAGTCACTGGAGAAACTGATATCCCAGTGGCTTGGTCTTCCAATATTTACAGGAACCACTTTTCTCGGTCGACACATGGTTTCCTGCAAATATTCAGCATATATATATGGATACATATATATATATTCTTATATTATGGAGATTTCCATAGAGAGATAAACTATATATATATATACATTACTACAGATAGATAGTGTATTTGTTATTCACTCTTATGAATAGATACTGTATTTGTTATATCTGGCTGAAATATAATAGTTCAAGAAAAGGAAAATGCCCGAAATACGGCCAAATGGGGATGATTTGCCTTACTAATCATCATTCTAGTGACACCAGAATGAGGTCATTATATTTTTTTCCAGATTATAAATCATATATATATATACATATCCTATCTATATATATATGATATATATATATATGGATACACACCGCTAACATATACTATATCCATATATACAATACGCCATATATCTTACATCACACATCACAAATCATATATCATTATTCCCATTTTCATGGAAGCTATCGGTTATTCCCAGACAATTTTGTTTGCTCCTTCCATATTTGAGACCATCTAGGGGGTGTTTAACGATAGGGGGATGGGATTGTTAATGGGGATAGTTCAGGGAGAATGATGGATCTATACCATGAAAATTATCCCAATCCCATTGTAATGGGGGCTAGAAAAATATCATGGGGATAATTATCCATACCAAAATTCATGGATCTGTCGCATTCGTGACTCAATGATCTTTTCAATGGGCGTAGAATGAAATCCCATCTGTTAATAGTGGTGACTATTAACCATGATCAATGCATTATTTATTCATAAGCCCCATATTAATGGATATCAACCACGAATTAAACCATTAGTAACTTAGTAACCATTAAATAACCATAATTTCACCATTCTTAAACTTAACCATAAACCCAACCAAGCATTAACCATTGGCAAAAACACCATGCTTTAGCGGGCCCCGCTTCGATAGAAGTCACGGCGTGGCATCGAAGTTCAAGGCTTCGGAGCTTTGCAGCCGCCAGGCGCGAAGCGCCTGGGAAAATTCCCATGGGAGCCCTCGAAAAACCATAGGATTTTACCCTCTGGTGATGTCAAAATAGCTATTGGAAATTGCCAGTTATTGTTCATGTACCCATTATAGCGAGCTGGTGATTTTCCATAGTTTTTTGTTAACGTTTACCAGAGGGTAAGGGAATTTTCACTGGTTCTTGGGATTTCACCATGAATTTCACCAAGGGTTTCAAGCCACGTTTTTGGTGAGATCTCAGCCCAATAAAACACATCCTCCAAACGCGTTCTAGTCAGATTTTATCCCCATCCGTTGGTTGATCTAAACACATCAACTATAACGGGGATTTGACTGGATATACGTATATATATATATATACGTATATATATATATATACGTATATATATATATGTAGAATATACATATACGTATATATATATAATATGTTCTCCATCTCCAGCGTTCTTTCTTGCACCCTTTCCCTTTCTCGAGGGCACCTGTGTGCTGGCAAAGAGCACCCTCTGCACTGCAACCAGCAGTTCGTTCTCGCGACTCAACTGCTTGCCTGTTGCGACTTGTTATTTTCACAACCCTGGATGTTTTTTTATTTCCCATTGAAGTGTCCATTGGTATCACCATGAAGAATTGGGTAAAAAACTAAACATATATTCGGAATACAACGGGATACACAGCCAACAACATGATTTGTGAGTGTGTGAGAATAGGGTATATGGTATACCCCATACTATGGTCACTTGAATAGGGAATATGACGATCAACCATCAACTGTTGGGGTACACAATTTATTAATGAACGGTTTTCCCATATCAAAACGAATAAATTGTGAATTTCCAATGTCATTTTCTTAGTACTGGCATGCTATAGTGAATAGGAAGGAAAGTTTTTTTTTAGGATCTGCTTCATCAACACTGGAAGCTTAGAGTGGTTTGAAATGACATGCAATGGAAATGACCCTTGCAAAGATTGCAAAGGAAAAAGATGGAAAAAACAAAGCGGAGAACAGGGATCCTTGCATTTTTCCTACAAACATAATCTTTTTGAAGGGTAGATTACAACTTTTAGCAAGAGTGATCTGTTCCCATAGGACAGCTGGGATGAGATTTCCAAATAGGGTGCCCCATTGCATCCAGCTAATCATCATTCTCCCTAGAAAAGCCACTGGGGGCATTGATACACCTCCCTATTGTATCTGACTGAATATTCCATCATCCTGAAAAATCCTCAAGGCCATTTGAGTTCCTTATAATTCAACCAGATTAATATCCCTGCTGCTGTTGCTGTTGCTGCTGTTTGAAGGCTCCATGCTTAACCCCCACTGTTTCCACTGTTTCAATTGATTGCGGCCTGAGCCCGGCAGCATCAAATCCAGCACTGCGGAGAGTTGACGATCCATACCTGGTCAGACTGGGATTGGACCATTGGCATAACCCAAGGTCCCCAGCATGGGGATTTCTTGGGGACTTGTGAATGGTGGGTTGTTATGTTATGTTACTATCTTATAATCAAGAAACAATGAGGGATTCATGGGATTAAAATGTTGTGACCAACAATGAAGGAGATTTATGGGAGATTCATTAATATGCTCTAATCAACAATTAGGATAAAATGGGGGATCAATATATTCTGCCGTTGTACCAAACAATTATTGGGGAGTAATGGCGGAATGGGGAGAATTCTGGGCTATTTTGTGGGCATATCGCCAGGTTCAGGATGATAATTTGGTTGACATTGGGTTGGGATAATTACAAATCGTAGTATCACCTAAACCTGTCCAATTGCCATGATGTCTCCATAAAATGGAGGGTTTTTGATCGAAAAAAAACAGTCAGTCAAGCTGTCGTCCTTTGCGGCTGCAGAGTATCACCATGTCCACCCCAGTTTGCGTCGCTTCAATCCCCAATTCTTGATGAGCAAAATCCTTGATCTTTGATATGGGTATGGGTCAATACCTATAGATACATTTTTAGTGGGATGAACATCCACAAATCCCAGCTATTTTTGGGTTCACTAAATACCAGGGTTTTGACCCATCCCCATATCCTCAATTTCTGATTGGTGCCAAGTTTTGATCTTTAAATCCACAGAATTTTCTTCATGGCCACAGCTGCGCCTTGCGCAGGCCAATATCCCACTGCTCGGCTGAAGGCGCGTAGGAAGAGGTGGTCGTCCGCGGCGCCGCCCGCCTGAGTGAAGCCCAGGGAGCCGATTTTTGCCATGGAAAATTGGGACTAAAAAACCAACGAACCTTGGGCTTTTAAGCGCAGGGAAAACTCGAGTCCATGGAGGTTTCAGTACGAACAGCACAGCAACGACTGGAAAAGTCAAAATGGGCAGAAAAATCCGGGTGTAACATGGTTTTAACCAGAGATAGGGGCTTAATCACGTGAACCAACGAGAATTGGGACTTGACCAAGCATACATGGTGGTCTAACTGTAGAAAATCGGGTCTGTAAACAAGCAAAATCCGAGTCAAACAGTAATACCTGGGACCTTTATCTTTGTTATCTTTGTTATCTTTGTTATCTAACTAATTCCATTCCATCCCATTCCATACACCAAGTGTATATTCATCAATAAACATGGATTCCTTTCTCTACTTTCGAATTCAGCCGTGCCCATCTTATAACGACTTTTTGAGTCCGGCCTCCAACATATCTCGCACATTGATCTCCAAGGCTCGCCGCCCTAGCATTGGATGGTCATCCCATCGTCCCGTGGGACTGAGGGTATTAAAATGTATTACCCTCTGGTTATGTCAACAGTTTGCTATTGAAAATGGCCATAGAAATAGTGGATGACTACCCATTCAAAATGGTGGATCTTTCCATAGCTATGTAAACGTTTACCAGAGGGTACATACGAGGGAATGGGATGATCTTTGCAAATCATCTGACCTGTGAAACCTCATCCCAGGGCTTGATTTCTTGTGACCCTTCAGTACTTTTAGAGTTTGCTTTGGTTTTGATGGCCCGTTGATAGATGATCTAAGGTTTCTAAACATCTTGATTTAGCTCATTTTCCACTTGAACATGGGTGCTATGTTAGGATACCCCCCTATTTTTGGACACATTAATCGGTGATGGTAATTTTGCTGCTGCATTGGAGAAATCCCAACCTTCGTTGCTGTCCCTTAAAACGCCTTCCGTTCCAAATTCTAGGTCGATCTCCAGTAGGATTTCGGCCTATGGATGGGAATCCGAGAAAAAGGTAGCCATTTCTTTTACCCTCTGGTAAACGTTTACAGTTTGCGAACTGGAAAATTGCCATTTATAGTGAGTTTTCCCATTGAAAATGGTGATTGTCCAATTGTAAACGTTTACCAGAGGGTAACACACATAATTCTACATGAAATCCAAGTTGAGGCTACAACTTTTCAGTTGGTTCACCATAGGACCCAGTTGTTGACCTGTATCAACTGCCCATCTCTGCAGTCAGAGTGAACTTCGGCGATTTTCCTGGTTTTCTTATTGTAAGTAATGTAAGTAAAACAATGTCATAAATCGCCCATGTGGGAATGGTCTATACCACCTATTTATGGTGATTTGGGGGATGGTTTATTGTTTTACCCACATTAATGTATCATTTATTTTGATATCAAAAGTATTATATGGTTATCCCCACAATCCCCTATTACTCACGAAATATCGTTAACCCCCTTGAGGGTTAGCTATATATATATATATATCGATGACATTCCCACAATGTGAGAAAATAGCTTTTAAGAATTTACCAACGTTTTAAAGCATCATTTTTGGCGATGGGTGTGAAAATAGGGCACTCCGTACACGACTGCTTCATCATTCGTCTTTTTTTCAGATACGGTCATATTTTTAGCTATGTGCCTACTAACATATTCTATTCTATCCCCACTATATCCTCATGTTTTTCCCAGTCACAATAAATCAGATGCTTGGTTATATATATATATATTCAATTATAGGGTTCAAATCCCCCGGCCCCATGATCCCTACAGTATCACAAAAAAACATCGTGGCGGCCACGAGTCCAATCAATTTCGTCATCATCTCGTTCAAGCCATTGCCACGATGGCCCGTGAGTAGCAGCACCCGTTCCGGCGGCTGATCCAGCCAGTCCTGCGGGAGATAGACTGGGAAGAGTGGCGATGGTTCAGATCCAAAGATATGGGAATTACCCTCCGGTAAACTAACTGTTTGCGGTTGAAAATCACAATTTTTACTGGGTAAATCACCATTTTTACTGGGTAGTCATCAACTATTTCGACTGGGCCATGTTCAACAGCAAAAAGTAACAAATTACCAGAGGGTATATGGTAAAATCGTGGGATATTCCAATGGTAGCAAATAGTTTATCGTAACCCGTATTTTATCATAAGTAGCTATTTTATGCAATTTTATGGCAAACTAATGGGATACAATGGGATATGATGAGGACATTATGAAGATTATATGGGAAAATGGGGAATACATGGCGATATGATGTGTTCTAATTCTAAGCTATTGTGGGATATAACCAACAAACAATGGAGGGTTATTTATGAACATCATGGGGACTATCAACGGGGATCATTAATCGCAGTGATAGGAAAATTGGCACTATTCGTGGGGCTTTTTTCTGGGATACCGGAACCCAATATTGACGGATATAACCATCAACATCGGACGATTAAGTGGGCTCCTTAATAGTGTAAAACCCCAGCTGAATATCGGAATGCGGACATTATGGGACCAGATTTGGGGGCTTAATCTCAAGGTCGCAAGATCATAGGGATATAGTGGTGGGATAAAGTTCCCCACATGGCTGGCGGATTTTGGAGGGGATTGCACTGGTAGGGACTCTCAGGGGATGATCATCCCCAATAAACAGGGGTTTCGCAGCCACTGCTCATGGTCCGTTTTTGGTCATGTATCCCCATTAATAAACCCTTTCTTGGTGCTTAGTTAAATCCACATTCATTGTTTTTGGTACTATTATCCCCATTGGGAATCCCATTATATACCCATTTCGGATTATTATCTGAAAGTACCCCAATTGTTTTTTTCCTCCAACCGAAAAAAAATAAACCAGTTGCTGTCCTTCAATTTGGCGGTTTCGTTTTGATGTTCCGCCCAGAAGTCATCGAAGAGATCTGGTCGCCATGGCGGAATTGGGTTTCCCCCCACAAGAATCGAGGGATTACATGATACTTAACGGATATCTGTAATATCTAAATGTAATATTTATGTGTTGAGGATTACACGACATAAATTGTGGAATATTGTTGGGGATTTTCAAAATGGTTGGATACCCTAGGTCATTGAGGACCGCTGTTTATGTTGAATTAACATCCAACTTCAAGGATTCATGGTGTGGCTGTCCATTATCCCCCACTTTGGTGTATGGGGCAGCTGGCCTGGCGAACATCAAAACAGTAGGTATGGCGAGATACTCATTCCCCCCATTCAGTTTTCAGAGTGGATCCAATATGTGACAATTTGATGACCCCCAAACCATTGGTTTTTTGAAGGTTGACCATCGCCAGAGGGGGTTTGAATCACAACTGCTTGTTAATTCCAGGTTTATTCCATGATTTGTTGAATGGTATACCTGGTGGTCATAACCTACTGGAGAATGGGAATATCATCATCCCCAAATAGAATGGGGGACACACCCATTTCCACTTGGAGTATCATTCCATTTCGTAGCTGGCAGGTGGGTTTAGTTTCCCGATGGGTTAAATTGATCAGTCTTGGGGCTGAACTTCACCATGAACATGGATGGTCAATGCTAGTACTCAATAAACATGATCATTCAATATTTGCGGAGTTTCACCATCAACCCCTATGATGTCTGAATGGGGTTACTTTCATAAATCCTATTAACATCATATTTCTAATCCATGAATCCACGATTTCAATGGGGTTAACGTAATCTATCCATTCCTATCTTTGATGCATGGGGCTTAGTAAAGGCCTAGATTTTGTGGGCTTACTGGACCTTCCAGGGACGCCTGAACCGGCTTTCTGTCGCAGAGATTCCCTGGCTTTGCTCATGCTGTGCAGCAGCCAGCCGCGCAGTCCTTTGCCGCCTGGCAGCTCATTGATGAAGATTGGGTCAGGTATGTTATGTATACTGTATTCTATACATATATAATGTACAACAATGAACATGTACGTATGTATATATGTATATATATAACATGATCTCAAAATCCACAACAAGTCTAAATGGAAGTGAAATGTCTTGTCGGGCACTTGTGATTTTAATTCTGGCTCAAGTATACTGCACCAAGCTGAATTAGAGATATTTTGGGAAGGTTTCCCATACCAATTGCCTTTCATGGGGACGTTATTGTGAGAGTCTGACAATTCACTCATATATATATAATATACATACTATACATATACATGTATGACCTAGTACGGGTTACCTGATAGGACGATTTGTGGGGGTGATACTATCAACGGGAGCATTCCCCTCATCTTAAACTGTGGGATGACCTTGCAGGAGATGACAACTGCTGGATTCTGGATGTTTATCCTCTCGAAAATCTGATGTGGTAGTGACTTTTGAATGGTTTTGACACATCCCCACATCAGTCTAGCTCTCACAAACTGTTGGGATTCTCTGGGGTCACAAATGGTTGGGATTTCTCCAATGAACTCCATGTAGATCCAGGTCACCATGGACTGGGATGATCCTTGATAGTTCAGCGATTGTGTCTAGCCACTTTAAGGATAGTTTACCACCCATCTTTTGAAGGTTCACTACCCTCAGGTCATCAAAAATTGCAATGGGAAATGCAATTTTTCGTGGACAATCATCTACAAATGACATAATCAATGCGAGACAAGGTGGGACATTAGATTACATTCGAGTTTGCCTGAAAATATGCTATCCCATTGCATCCACCAGTTATCATTTTCCCAGTTCTCTCATGGCAATCTGTCGATTAAGCCCAGCGTTTCACCGAAGGTCTCCTCCATGGTTGAAAGATATCCCCATGCGATGCCCCCACCTTTGTCTTCGCTGGCAGAAACCTGGGAGATTTGTCGTTGGCAATGGATGGCACCCGACTGGAATCACTCATCTTCTATGTAATATGCTTGTACTGATTTAACAACATATCCTACTTAGTTAAAACAACATTGACAACAAGTCAAAGTTTTTAACAACAAACTGCCTTAACTAATGCATTTGAACACATATAAATTGGTGCTTTAGAATGGGGAAAACCAATGGTTTTGGGGTACCCCATTGCAGGAAACACCGATATCTCTACCTCTAAGCTTAGATATCCTGCGAAACTTATGTTTTTTTGGTTTTCGCAAAATCATCTCCATGAACGTGGCACAAATACAAGTACCCTACTCAACCAATGTTGATCCAATATCTATCTCCCATCCATCCATCCATGAATCCATCCATGTCTTTATCTCTACACTCTAACAAGTACCTGCATGGTCAGCAGTTGTATTCTCTGCGAAGCGAATGGGTTTGTTGGTTTCCGGTGTCCGACTGCAGCTGTTCAAGCTTCGCAAAAAGAACTCCCCAACTTCCAAGTTGGATAGTTTATGGATCAAAATATCTGGCAATCTTTTTTCAGAAACGAAACGGATGTTCATGGATGTTCACTCCGTTCCTCTTTTGAAACCCAGCTCCATATCTGGCCTTCAAAGTTCACGAATCCAACAGATTGGAATCCCCATGAAAGCTGCGTTTTGACGTTTTGTTTGTAGGTGAAGTTTCGTCTCAAATCCCAGAGTCACCACCAAGCTACTGGCGGGGATGAAAAGATGCTGGCAATCTTCAAATGAACAAAGCTGCTGCGCATGGGATCCCAGATGAAATACGTGGTACCAAACCTGACACGGAAGGAAGGAAGGTTTTGGGATGAGATATGTTCCGCTGTCCTTGAGGGATGGATGGGAACTCCGGTCATAAGAATGTCGGAAAATTCATCGGGAGTACTGAGGATCAATGGATACATCCCTTCGGGTTTGTCCTTCACGATAGGCTGATGATATACCGCATTTTTTTGCCCATTAAATGATGGAAAACATGATGATAAACAACTTATATTTTTTTGGGGCCTCCATCAAACCCATGTTGTAACTACAATTTTCATGTGCGAGACTGTGATTAACATACTAGCGAAAGATTAGATATATCTAGTTAAATATGGTTCACCAACAATTTTCAAAACCAGGTAACCATGTACTAAGCTGCATGCGCATCCAAGTAATGTCAACCCCGGTTCATCGATTAGGCCCACCCCAAAAAGATGATAAGTTACCATCCAAAAGCTCCAACATCAAACCTCCAGACCCCAATTTCAACTTGGATGCCGATCCCAGTAAAACGGCTAAGAACTGGTATGCAACTGAGGTTTGTCCAACCTTGCCGCTTTTTGTTCCCCAAACATGCCCATCTTTTAGGCCGCTGGGCATCAACACCACAAAGATGGGAAAGATCAGTCGGGCATTGGACGTGATCGTCTCCCAGATCCATTTCCTGAGGGAGAATACTGGATTATAACTGAGAATGGTTTGGTTACCATGTAGAAATGTCAATGGGTTATAAGTTATAACCAACACACTACATCGGCTGTAAACCCAACATGAATATGCCCATCAAATCAATTAAGAATGGGCATACTTCCAATTTTTGTTGTTGTACTGGTTCGACGGGACTTTTCTCGCTATTTGTAACTCGGTTTTCAGCTGAAGCACTTGGGTTTATTTTGATCCAGATTTAGGGTATGGCTTCAGCATTTGGTTTGCAACAGGGTTCACAAAAGAAAACTGGAAGCTTCGTGAACCGAAATTTGGACACACCAATCTATGACAGCCAGGTTTAGGTGGAAACACCCATGTTGGAAAACGGGAAAGACCTGGTGACTTGGAGAAAACATAAACTATAGTTGAACAGGATGATGTTCCTACAACATGCCATTTTACACAATGTTTCGCCATGCACATGTACCAAATTGATATATTTTATAGGGGTTTAAATCCCAATTTTCAAGCTGCTGAATGTTCTCGGTGCAGTTGGGTCATGACCATGATAGTAATCTCCATCAATTGGGAAATCGTGGCAACCACGTTTTTTTTTCATGGAACTGCAATCCCAGTTGTGCGTTTGTTTTTGGGTAATCCATGACCAATCTTGGATGGGGCCTGGGCCCAATCCAAGTCCAACGAGTCGCTGCATGAATTGTTTGTATTCCATGTGGAAGCGAGGGCCCTCCGGATTTCCTGCCTGGATCAGGTTGAACCCGGATCAGATGTTGGTGGAAGTCGTCCGATATTAGGGGAAACCCATGGCAATTTAAAGATCAATTTTTCAAGGAAATCATCCAACATGTGTGAAACCCCTGGACTCCAGGGAAAATACGGCAAATCTAACAGGTGCAATGGCCGGCGCAATTTGTAAATTGCCTATTCAATGAGATGGAGTGGGTCTTGAACAAAAACACATATCTGAAATAGTGATCTGCTAGTGAAAAAAAACACGGTATTTCAAACTACTGGAGTTGCCTGAATTTGAGGGGCGATTCCTTGGAATCATACTTTAAATCCAACCCTACAGTCGAACCAAACCCACTCTTTAAATCGCACCTCTTGGTGAGTGGTGACATGCATCATTCAGGTGACATTCAAAAGGGAATGAAATCGCGGAGGACGTAATTCGTTTCCCCTGGGCTGACTATGTTAACCATGAACCACTGAATTGGTCATTACATTATTCTGGACGAATGCGAATGAGTAATGAATTGGTTAATGATTGGATGATGTGATGAATTACAACCATTTAACACCACAATGATTTTACATACATACACGTAAAACAAAAACAAATACATACAACAGATTACATTACATTTCATTGCATTACATTCCATTCCATCAGATCACATGACATTACATTACACTACATTGATTTTTGGTACACTACATTACATGGTTACAGACATGGAACATCCTCGTGATATTTCCATTGGATGGTCACAATCCCATGGATTTCGTAAGGGATTGGCTGCCTCCAGCAGCGCTCCATGGAGGCAATTCCTGGCCGCCACAGCTGCGGCGGTGTAGCGGAAGGATGCCACCACGGGGCCGCTGTCGGTTACCTGGCAGGTGATGTTGGGGAGACAAATGGATGACATATATGTATATATATACACATATATATGTATATATATATATATATACACATTCATTGCATTACCTTACATTACAATAGATTAGATCAGATTAGGTTAGATTAGATTTGATCAGATTAGACTAGATTAGATTGGTTTTGATTGGATTGGTTTTGATTAGATTACAAGACGAGACGAGAAGAGACACAACAAGACGATACGTATATCAATGCCGGTAATCATTGATATTTCAGCAATGCGTGTGCTACATACACACACGTATGTATATATATATATCTACATATATATATATGCGCATACATATACAGATATACATTAAAGTATCCAGATCTAGATGCAAGCAGCATTCAAAATGGGTCAGCATCTGAGAAGCAATGGTCTGCGCAGTTTTTGGTTTATCGGGGAAAGGAACGTCTGACCCAAAGCCAAATGCAACAAACAAGACAATGTGGTATCTTGCCAAACAAAGATGGAATCCTAAAACTGAAATGGGATATCCTAAAAATGAGGGACCTCCGCATCATCAAAAATTAGTCTTTCAATAGGCAAACTAATGGATTTTGGGGTACCCCGATTTAGAGAAACATCCATATGACAGGACAACATGGATCAGTGTACCGGGATGATGGAGATTTTGCCGATAAAGATCAAGCTAACAAAAAAGATGCAACCAGCAAAAATAGCACACATCAGAAATTTTCGCACACAACATGGAGATACACTTTGCAAAAGACCACGGAAATAAGATAGATATAAAGCTCGCTTTGAAGTATCTTGGGGTATGACCAATGGCGGATACATCATGGCTCAACTCGTTGCCCGGACAGCTTCGTGCAGCGGGATAATTTTGCTGATGACATGGGAGCAATTGGGAACATAACTATAGTAGCTACAAGTATAACCAACATCGGTGGACATGTTTTCGACATCCACTTTCTGCCTGGAGATCTTCCAGTTGACCATATCTTCTCAAGATCTCATACAGCTTCTCCTGTTGCTGACCGCTGATACGGAGGGAGTATGACTCTTATGACTTTGGCTCAACTGGGGAATAGCTTGCAAGATAGCAAGATGGACTCCAATACTTTGGGGCTATGGCCTTGTAGAATATCCGGGTAGCCACAAGTCACCTGTGGGCCCCAATGGCGTTGCTAAAGAGATGGCTGGACCTTGGGCATCGTGTAAATTTGTACCCGGCTTCGAAACCAGGAACATCATTGTTGAATATTCTTGATAGCATTGAAAAAACGACATTATCAACTGCAACCCATTTACTGGATTGCAGTATGGCATTTCACATATTTCACCATCATCCCACCAATCTAACCTCATCATTTCCAGTATTTAATCATCTAAAGCCATCAATCTCAGCCCATCCATTCATTTCTAAGCAGAGGTCCTCCTTGATCTTTTCGCTGGGTTCCAGGCGGATGTGCAGCTGCGAGGAAGGATAGCGGCTGTTCAGGTCCTGGAAGCAACAGAAAGCAGCGCAGCGTCACCATGAAATATGTGGTACTAACCATGAAACAATGGATGTCTCTATTGGGCTAGCAGTGGGTAAGATCTATAATGGGAATATCTATGGGAATATCTAAGGGAATGGCTGTTTCTATTGGGCTTCTTTGTGATGTGGTAAAGCCAAAACCATAAACTGTGCCCAATACTACTTCTGAATGGATGGGATTAAACAGATCCTGAAATAGTAGGTTCATGGCATTGGTTTGGGGGTCAGCAAAATCCTTAGACGCATAGGTTTTTTGGGGGCACCATATACTGCTCGCAATGCCTATAATAACGCTGATAATCAATCATACACATAGTACAAACACGATATATAGTAACCCCCAAACCATTGGATCTAGCCAACAAACATGGCGGATATCATGAGATTTTCTAAGTATGTATAACTATACAACAAACTCATGAAGATGCAGACTGTTGAGGAGAACAGGATAGATATTTTTTTTTCGGGGTTGCGCTATACGCACACGAATAAAAACAATAAAAACAACACCAACAATACAACAGGAATGATACTGTACAATGTATAACAATAATAATAATAATCAGAAAAACAAACAT